CGATTTTTTCGATTTTTACAATAATAATCATGATTCATTCGATTTGTAAATAGTCATATTTTGTAAAATTTAATTACAAATATTTTTTTCCTCTTCCATTTTCGCCTAAAATCAACTCTTAAAAAGATACATAATTAAATAGGAAGAAAAATATGACATTTTTCCAATTTTTTTAACATATTGTGCCGCCAAAAGTTAAGCCCACGTTTTTTTTATGCGCATAGAAAAACTTTCATTTCTAGTGATATTTGAAAGCCAAAAAGCCAAAAATCTTCGTGGATATACGATTCACCCAAACCAAAACAGATACCGCCTGGTCCATATATGTTGTTGTTATATGTGTTGATGTCCGGTATGTATTGATGTATATGTTGCACATGTCCTTTGTTTTTCTTTGTGTTTTTAGTATTGTAAATTACTATACCGTATTGTTCTGTTATTGGAAGAGATTTTGCTGAGCAATAACTGCATTATTTGATAATTTTATATTTTTAAGGGCTTTAATCCGGACGGAATAGCGAACCATAGGGGAATGTTCAATGAAACGGATTTGAACGATATGAGTAACAGCGAATTCTGGTCATCTTTTTCCAGTTCTGAAGAAGCTCTATTGAACTGTGACGGTTTAATCTTGAATCTACCACTAACTCCCCATCATAAATGCCAAGTGGATTTAAACGAGGAGGACGTTAAGGAAAGCTATCGGGACAACACGGTCACTTACAAGTAAGTTTGAAACTTAGTTTGGTCATATCAAAATAAGCAAATAAGGCAACATATTACTTTTATTTTGGGCGTTCCTATGTAGAAGCGTCCAGCCTCAGAGATGTTTAACCATTGGCAACTGCCACGGAAGTCTGTAGACCAAGTTAACCGGTATTTTTCTCATTATGTGTAGTTTATTTTTTTATTTTAGGGTACCTACGAATGGTTACTATTTCTTCGTCTTCAACAGCGAAAACGAAGTCCAACCCAATTACATACGGGTCCAGTTTGATTTGGAAAAGGCCGTGTACAACGTTTCGAACCCAGTAGCATATTGCGCGAACAGTTCGGATTCGTGCGCACTAGATCTGAATTTTTTTTCATCAGAAAAGCTAGTGATGGAACTACCCGTCAACGAGAACCAAACTCTTTGGAACGAAGAGTTCATTGTGGTGTCCGAATGTGAACCTAGAACGGTTCTTTATGCCATATGTGTGATAGCTGTACCTGTATTGGTTATACTTTTTGCATTTACGTGATACTTTTTTGAGGTACTATTATATATGTAATATTAAGAGTTGATTTTATTAACATTGTTAATTTATGTTTAAGATGTATGTTGTTAGTCATTTCTGTGATATTGAATGTCTCAATTAAATGAATTATGCTTAGAACTGAAATTATTTTGGATTAGGTGGTGTGGATTATGAAAGTTGGTGATATTTCTCAGGATGTTGATATAATTTAGGATCAGATTGAGTGATAAAATATAGTTTTAATATGTATTTAATGGTTAAATAAATATTTTACACATTTATTCGTATAATTCATTACCAATATTTTACTACTAAAATTTTATTGTTTTAGACTGGTTTTCTCCAAAATTTTACGAGGCAACACCGTTCTTTTTTTTTGTTAATTCTCATGAATATCTTTTAATATCAAAAAAAATATTGAAACATTTCTTCAAATAGACTCTTTTAGTGTGATGTCAAATATCCCGCAATAAATAAATTGTCATAGTTGAAATTGTACAGACCGAAACTGTTCCTTGTGTACTACTTACATAGATACTATAAAAATGAACTTCAAATTAATTTATTTTTATAAAGATTTAGAAGTATTTAAGAACAACCAACACGTGTTTGGTAAAATAGATACACTAATGTGCTTAAAATTTACAAAAAACGATATAAAAGAATATTCCTAAATTTAAATAAAGTAAAAATTTTACATTAGCCGTATTATTCTTAATGCGCATGCTTGGAGAGAATAGCCTCATACGCGGGTGAGATCTTGTTGATATGTCATCTCCCGTCATTATTAGCCTATTTTCTCGTCTTTAATTTAATCTTGGCATTTTCTAGTTTTACTAAGTATTTTTTATTGTTTTTCTTGGTATTGTGCTGTGTCAGTGTGTTGATCGAATGTTTTTTTCTTCAAATGGTTTATTATAGACGTACTCTTAACCAATACCAAACTTTTCTTGAATGATATCCTGTTGCAAGACTACTTCGATAACATGAAATTATCTTTAATGCGCATGCTCAGTAACATTGATATAATTTTAATTTATTAACTACTATAAAAGTCAATACTGTTCCATAAATTTAAGTAGGTATATAAACTCTATAATTCTTTTAGTTCGTCACTTGGGGTTTGAAACTTCTTAAATATTTCTAATATTGCCAGAATATCGCTATATTTAAGGTCATGATGTAGTAAAAATATTGGGAAATTCTTCATGACAATGTGCTCTAGGGGCCTGCCTATTTGGCGTATGTGACGTCACTACTAAAAAGGTCTTTTGTCTTTTAATTATCTTCACGTTGTTTTAAAAATGGAAAGTGAATGAGCAATGGTAAGTTTTATGCAACCATTAATACGAATACTACTTCAATTACTCAATTGATTATATCTTACTATTACCGTGACAAAAAGCTCATTTAATTTCAATATTGTTTATTAGGTACTACATACTTATTATAATTTTTTTCACTTGTATTGCTTCTATGTTTCCTTTTTTTTTATAAATTATATATTTTTATAACATAAATCATTTCAGGAAAAAAACAGAGTATTAGGTAGTTAAATAAATAAACGCAAACGAATAAATTTCATTAAATAATAATATGTAATTTCTTTAAAATTTTTTTAACATATACGAGTAAACTAAACTAATTTTACGTTTTTATTTAATTTGTTATCTACAGTGTGTCCCGTTTTTCAAGTGAACACCTCTGGAAATGTGAGAAGGCTGTGGACTTTCCGTAACCCAATTTTTTTACAAATAGTAACCTGAAGGGAGGTTATATTCTACTAATCATTTTATTGATGTGACAAAAGCCATGCCTACTACGATTTTTTAAAAGTCATTTTTCCAGAAAGTAGTATTAGGCATTTTTTTATTAAAAAGATAACATTACTAGGCTATTCAACACCGATTAAAATACTCATATACCTTTGAACAACAAATGTCTATTGAGTGTTTTTATGTGGTGCCAAACTTCGAAAAATCAGGCAATTAAAAATTATAATAAGCAGGTCAAAGATTGTCATGAAAGTGAAAACAAATACCAATCGGACAAAGAAAAAATACAGACACTATAAATTTAATAGTTTTAATTATATTAATTAATTATTATTAATTAATTATAAAAATAATAACTTACAAAAAATNNAAAAAATTGCAAAACGTTAATCTAAATTAAGTTTTAGTTTTTTCCACCAAATCTCCTTCCAGTCGAACACATTTTTCCAATACTCTTCTTAAATTTAAAAATAATTTACATAGCGGTTGTGAAGTAATCTCTGCACACGATTCTCTTATGCAATTCATTAGGTCATCCAAATTCCCTGGTCTATTTTTATAAACTTTTTGTTTTATAACACCCCAAAAGTAAAAGTCCATAGTTCGAGAAAACTAAATTTAATTTAGATTGTCTTGCAATTTTTTATTTAACAACTTAATATTTATAGTTCATTACCTACATCTTTTGAACGTTAATTATTTATTATTTTTACTATGGCCGCAATTAAAAGTGTTAAATTTATAGTGTCTGTATTTTTTCTTTGTCCGATTGGTACTTGTTTTCACTTTCGTTGCAATCTTTGACCTGCTTATTATAATTTTTAGTTGTCTAATTTTTCGTAGTTTGGCACCACATAAAAAATACTCCATAGACATTTGTTGTTCAAATTTGGTATATGGGTATTTTGATGGGTGTTGAATAGCCTGGTAATATTATATTTTTGATAAAAAAATGCCTAATACCACTTTCTGAAAAAACTACCCTTTTAAAAAATTGTAGTAGGCCTTTTGTTACATTAATAAAATGATTAGCAGAATATAACCTCTCTTCAGGGTACTATTTGTAAAAAAAATTGACTTGCGGAAAGTCCACAGCCTTCGCACATTTTCAGAGGTGCTAACCTGAAAAACAGGACAAACTGTATATCAAACTGAAGAAGAAAAAAAGAAATCCAATCCAATCCAATGCTAAATTAAAAAATGAATAAATTCAACCCCTGAAAATTAAAAAATACTGTTTAAAAGTTTTTATTCGTTGGCGAGTATAAATAAATAAAATCAAAATTTAATTCTTTTAAACTTTGAAACAGTACTTAATAAGTAAAGCAGTTCCATAATGATAACTGACGTACACAAAAATAAATAAATAATATGTTTACTAATCTGATTTTTATAGCATGGCAGTGGGGACATTCCCGTTTTATACCTAGTGCGAAGACAGGTTGCAACAGAACAGCGGTGGCGCTAACCTCTTTTGCACCTCGGAAGCATTCGGAGCATGGTGCTATTCTACTTCAATTAAAACTATTCCCGGTTTAACTTTATTGTTATTTTATTTATTTTGGATTAATTCAGTTTGAAAGATGGCAATGGTAGCCGTCAATTACCAAGTTCGTCCATAATACAAATTCATCTGATGTAAAAACTGTATTTTGATATACCAACGAGTGCAGGTATAATTTTAATACACTCGACATCACTTACCGTATCAGCAAATTGCTGCAGAAATAAAATATAAAAAGCTAATTTAATATTCATTTCCTTATCGTGGGAAGAGGATACGACGCAGCTTAAATCTAAAGTATAATTTGTCCGACACGAGCCTTTTAATCCCCTCATCCAAATTAATTAGGGCTTAGGGGTGGCAGAAGATGGGATTATAGATAAAAAAATTGGGAAGGGTAATAATAACATATTAGAAAAGATACGTATCATTTTTTTAAATAAAATCAGAACGTTGCTTTTAACAAATATTTTGCTCTTATATCGGGTGTTTCATAATTAATTAGTGATCAAAATAAGAAAAAAATCCTATAAGGAAATGTCAGAAAACGTTTCGTTTTCGATATACAGTCTTTGCTTTTGAAGGCACCTTTTAGTCGGACATAAACAAATACACATTTTTTATTATCAAACTCCCTTGCATTTAGAACACGTGCGAAACGTTTCCTAATAAATTCATGAGAACCAGAAGCCATCGTACAAGATTAGCGTGCTTTATCAGCCTCAGACAGATCACAGTGTGTGCCCGATACCAGCAAGGGCTGACAGGGCAGGGGGTGGATCATCCCTTATTGACTTGTGCCCCTCCCCGATTTAGATTACCATATTGACGCGTCAAAACACTCTTTGTTGCCACATTAGGCTCGAGTGATCATGAAAATTAAAATAAACAACTGATCTTTATCGATACTCGGTTATCATGGGAATGGGAGTTAAATTTACCGCGGTAGCCAAATGTTAATATGTAAACATAGTTTGGATTTCTTTACCATATGTATCTGATAATATCCCTAGTTGAATTAGACATAAAATGTTGTTATTCAGTTTCAAGGGTACCTAAAATACAGAAATAGGTAGGTTATATAACTTATTGTGGTTGAATTTTCTGTTGATCTGTGTCCAATGTGATGCTATAGCTATTAGAAAGAATAATTTCCTTGGACAATTGCAACCTTATTTAATAATTTTGATATAACGTTTATTTTTTCAATGAATATTCTTCGGATTGATTTTTATTTTGGTAATTATTAGTGACTAGATTGTCTATGAAATGATTTCTTTAGAATACATAGATAAATACTAGTAATAATTAGCTTGTTATGCAGGAATATTGATGCATATTTGTTATTAACATAATGTTTAATTTTATATCATGTAGCAAATGTTATAAACAGGTCAGTTAGTAAATAGAAATTGTCACTTTTCTGCTATATTTTCTATTTTTTTAAGCCATGTTTGGCAGAACTACAAAATTACCAACATTTTTTTTAACAGGACGTTCTATATTTTATAGTATGAATAGATAGCCCTTCTAAAGACGAATTCAGTGATACAACTTACTTTTTTGTCATAGTTGTCAAAAAATGGAGGATTTAAATGAAAACAATAATTTAGTACTACTTTTTATTTTATTACAGCAAATGTTCAAAGTGGCCCCAATTAACCATTGCACAACGCCCAATTCGGTGTTCAAAGTTATCAATTACATTTTGAATAACATTTGGTGTTATGTTTCGAACTTCTTCTCTGATACGATTTTTCAATCCTTCGAAAGTGTCTGGTCTGTTCGCATACACTCTGCCTTTTAGATAACCCCACAAAATAAATTTAGTGGGGTTAAGTCAGGAGAGCGTGGTGGCCATTCAAGTGGACCTCTTCTGCCTATCCATCGATTTGGGAAAACTTCATTAAGGTAATTTCTTACATCGATGCGAAAATGTGGAGGGGCACCACCTTGTTGGAACGAAATATCACCAGCAGGCATATCGTGCTC